AATTGGTTATTCTGGATGTTTTTTGACAGTTTTTTTTAGTAGTGGAAGGGAAGGGGAAGCAAAGATATAATACATTCTGAAGCTATTTATAGAAACACAAATCCTATCGTGTGTGATTATTGAAGAAAAAGGCAACTGGGGATTCCTTTTTTTATATTTCTTTAACTTCATACTTAGTTGTACTGCTAATTGAATGTTTTAAAAGGTTCCTTATATATTTCTTGACTTCTTCTCTTGATAATGATGTAGCATATATGTATCACAAAAGAGTGAATAGAGACTCCGTTGAGCTGATGTTGAACCAAATGAGGAGAAAACTCTATGGTGTCCGTAGAGCAACTGGATTCGGACCTGACTTTAGCCTATCTGAACACAGAGACCTATGAATCAAAAAAACTTGCTTTAAGTTTCAGGAAGATTTTGAAAGGGACGTTAAGACATTGGGAAATATTCATCACCATAACCTTGTCATTTTTGAAGATTATGACTCAGAACTTCTCAACCAATAGGTTAGGAAAAACACTTAAATGGACATTCGGCATCAAAAGGTAATTTGAGTACAACTCTATTTTAGGTAAAAACTCATATAATAGTAAGAAACCGGCAAACCTTATTTATGGATAGGTCTTCACGGCTATAATTTTCCTTCTTTCAGCTATTTCTTCATCTCTCAAACCTGGGATCAAGCTTATTCTGCAATTAAAATAATTAAATATTTGTTAGCCAAGACGCATTTGTTGTGTATATCATAGACATATTACTGAATAGTATTGTATGTTCTTCCTCTCGTGACTTGGTTGTTACCAAAAATCTACTACGCATTAATATTTAATGCCCACCTAATCAATTATGTCCATCTTCTCAGCTCAATTAATTCATCATACAACACCCAATTGAGAATAAATAAAGTTATTTTTAATTTTCTTGAAAGGAGAAAGTTCGACAAATAGCGTCAATTTTTTTCGTTTGATAAGAGATAAATTGAGGCAATATTTTAACAGAAATACACATGCCCCATAAATATTGCTTATCAATACTATCCAATAGAAGTAAATAATGTACCTCTCGAATTATGAATGATAGATGAGTATACGTTGTAGAACATAAGTCAAACGAAAAAAATAATAAACTATTATTTAGTTTTCTTGGGCATATCATCAAACACTTGGGGTGCATTGAATATCTCAATTAATAAGATCCAAAAAGAATGTAATGGATACTATTATAGTTCAGTATTTTGTCATTTAAGTCATTTCTAATCAAGTCGTTAAATTGGTAAATCATTTATGTTGCTCTTACTTGCTCCAATACTTACAATCTTTGAGCTTCCAAAACTTTTGAACTGTGAACACTACCATAATTACTACAACTAAAAACTTAAATCAAAGGAGAAGAAAGGAGCCTGACTACACCCAAATTAAACGCAATATCTTGTCCTAACCTTTTTATTATAAGCTGAGAGAATAATATATTAGAACGCAAACAACCGTAATATTCATATGTTAATCAATATTAAGGGCAAAAATAGAAAAAACCAGAAGAAATAAAGTGAATATAAATTCGGAAAGATTAACAGAAAAATGGAGAAATAAAATCCCCAAAAATTGAAGAGGGAAAAAGGGGAGTATGTTTGATTGCCCAAAAATAAGATTTGTATTCATCAAATATCCAAAATTATGCATGAATGTATCTTATTCCAAACATGTGTCCGCAAATGAAACAAAGTTACAGACATGCATATAGAGAATTCAAAAAAAAAATCAGGAAAAAAAAGAAGAAGAATGCAGCACACACAAGAGACGTCCATTTCGCGTCTGGATGTTCTTAGCACAATTTAATGGACGTGGTTATGGAAAATCAAGCTTCACCGGATGGGTACCTTTCGGGACTTTGCTTATTTGTATGACATTCTTACTTGTCATTGCCAAATTGGTTGCATTTTATATTTGTGTAAACCCGTCAAACTTTGGGATATGGCCCTGGTTCCGGGCTGAGCTGGGTCTAATTTTCAGGTTGACACTTGATTGGTGTTTACTATAACACTATCTGATTTTGAAAGTTAAATTAGTGAATTATTCATTGTCATCCTGTGTATTTTGGATATTGTGGCATCACTTATCTAGTTACATTATATTACATGTTAATATCATTGTCGCTCGTTAAATTCCATTAACTTCTCAGTCAAAAACTTATTGATTTAAATCCATATTGTTTGGGGTATAACTTTGTTTATCCTTTTTGATAACTTCACGGACTAGGATAAAGTTTTGGAAGTATCAAGAAGGCCATTCACAAGGTCTCAAGCTAAAGAGATGCAAGACAAGATTGTTGGACTTCAATGGAAGATCAAGAAGACGCTAATTGTGAAAGAAGAGCTCAAGACTTGTGGAGAGGATTTAGCTAAGTGCTACACTAATTTTATGGTTCAAGTCCAAATCCAATATGAGGTAGATTGGAGTGCAAGCACTAGCCGAGGAGGGCCTAAATCAACCAACAAAAGGAGTTAACTTGGCGCACAAGTTACGTCAAGAGAGCGATCAAGACACGGGGAGAAGGAGCCAAAGTTTTCTTATATATTTTTATTTCCTAGTTTGTTAGGACATATTTAATACTTTCGTAGGTAGTTAAGGTTATATTTTTCTTTTCCTAATAATGTTGGAATAACTTTTTAAGATTGACTTAGTTGTTTTGGCCGAACTAAAAATATTTTATTCAACCAAGGAAGCATATATATAGAGCTACCTCATTTGGACTAGGCAAAATGGCCTAAATGGCAATTATACTAGTGCCACTTTATCATGCCGAACCTCCTACTTCACGTTTTTTCATCTAGATACTTTAACTTGTTCAAAATCTATATTTTAAACCCATCTGACTATGTGTGTATCTCACTTGCTTGACGTGGATGACACATCATATTCCACGTTATTTTTTATATTTTATCTGCTAAAAACACTTATTATATACTATTTCCTTAAAGAAAAAGAAAAAAAAAATTAATGCCTCCATCTCATATCTCTTCCCTCAAATTCACAGATTTCTTCTTCCTTGTCCATCTCATATCTCTTCTCCATTCTCATTTTCCTTCCCTGTCTCACTATTCCGTCGATGAATAGTTATTTAGGTATTTTTTTAATTAGGCAGATTAATGCCACATTATTCTTAGCAGTGACTATCAAGGCGTCGTCGGAGTCAGATATCATACGCTTGCNGGGCATACAGGAAAAAGAGATGTAATGTGGTGAGTACGGGGAAGAACAGAAAGTGACATATCTCTTTCGCTTTTTTCTTTTTTTTTTAACTTATTTTATTTTTCATTCTTATTTTAATAATTTTTTCTTCTTATTTTAATTATTTCTGGTTCAGAATGTTCATATTCATACTCATTATCCGTGTGAATTACACCCACTTTATCCAGTTCAACCATTATTTTATCACATGTGCTTGGTCAACGGTCAGATGAGGTTTAAATAATAAGCTTTGATCAAGTTAAAGTGTCTGAATGAAAACAAGTGAAGTAGGAGGACCGGCATGACAAAGTGGCACAAGTATAGGTGCCATTTAGGCCATTCTGCCTTTGGACTATAGAGCTAAGTCTTACAAAAATAACCAAATCGAAAACTATATAGCTAGTTCAAATTGGAAACCTACCAAGCTGGCTCAAAGTGTTTCTCAATTTACAATTACCCTGCCCAACTATTTGTAATTGTAGGACTATTTCTTTAACTATGTCGGCATATACCCAACTCTTTATTTGAAATTTCCTGGAATTCCTTTCAGCCCAAATGTGGTAAATGGTAGCAGCAAAGAGGAATCCCAAAATGGAAACTTTAACATCCTTATGACTGATTTATGTAGATAACAACTTAATTTTATTGTCCCACGTATAGACTCTTATGCTTGTTCTGTCCATCTTAGCAAAGTCTGCCACATTTGCTAGCTTATGAGCACTAAAAGAACAAGTAAAAATGAGTTTCCTTACTATTTGTCGAACATAGAACACACTCTATTGGCACATGGACCCCCTACTTCCTCAATCTATCTACAATAGACAACCTATTTTGCGGTGCTAGCGATAAGATGAAGTGATGCTTTGGATAATTCCTTTTACCAAGATAAGGATTGGCTTGATTTTATATTTTCTAGTCTTTTTTCTTTTTCTAAGATAGTTGGACTTGTTGCTCAAAGTAGTTTAGGACTTTATTTCCTTATTTTTGAGGCTCCAATTTTATGGTCCCTCTTACCTATATAAAGGAATGTCTTTTTTTTGTTTTTAGACTTAGAATATTATCAACAAAAATTGTGAGATTCTTCTTGCACTCTTGTGTGTGGCTACTCTTAGATTTATTCTCAACCTTCAAGATTCAACTTAAGGGGATAAAACTAAACTCTCTCCGAAATCTTAGATCGCGTTTAGGTATTCAAGAAATGCGATAGATTTAGGTTTAGTGTTATTATTATTATTCTGAAGGGTCGGGTTTCACAATCTATCTCTTGTCCTTAATTCTCTACCAAATACAATTAGTTTTTCATTAGCTAATTATTGTTGTTAGGATTCAACTTCAAAAATAGATACCTTGAATTCAAGAAAAAGTTTCCTCAATTCAATCTATCTTTAATTTTTGTTTTCTTTTTCGCTTCTTTATTTATTTTTAACTTCCATATTTTTTAATTTTTTTATTTTCTTATTTTTTCTTAGTAATTCTTGGACCCCTAATATATTGTTATCACTTTCCTTCAAGCTAAGATGGGACTACATTCATAAGCTTTTCCTTTCATTTAACTTAATATTATTCTTACCTGAAATTCACTTCTGAACAGTTATGGAAAACAAAGATTATAAAACCTAATCCTAATAGATTCCTAGCCGTTACTGATGGGGAAAAGAAAGTTCCCTAATTGTTTCCTGCTTTACAATCCTCGTAATTCTACTTGTAAATGAGTATTGCTTTATAATTTGCCATGTCCAAAGTTAAACACACTGAAAAGCAAAGCAAATATTTACATGTAAATAAAGTATTAATAAGTCAGTTATTAGCTAGTACCAAAAAGTTTTAAGTCTAAACATATAGTCCTTTATAATAATAAGACAATATCTCTTGGTAAGGATAGTACAAACTATAATATAATACTCACGATTCACGAACATACTAGCTAATCGCTGCCAAACATATATAGAGGAGTTTCTTCACTGAGGAAGCTTGTTAAGCTTACAATAGACATAATCCTTGTACTTCTTGGTCTTGAATTTTGGTGGATTGGCCTCATTAACCAGCTTAGGAATTGGCCCAACTTCATGCTCTGATGGTGGCTCCAAGAAAACTGGCCATGACATTCTTGTCTTGTCCTTTGTCACTGTTGTCCTATGGTACACACTCTTGTATTTCCCATTGCTAAGAATCTGCTCAACAATTATGTCAATTTTAGAAATGGAAGGAAATAGAAACATAAAGAGAGAAAGTGTGTGTGTACTAATGGGATTTTACCAAATCCGTATGATCATAACTATGGTAGTCAAAGATACAAGAAACAGCCCTAAGTCTACCTTAATTTCAAGCAAGTTGGGTCCATTATAAAAATATTCTTTATACTGCAATGTATAAGACTTAAACTCACTTTTTAAAAGCATCATAAAGAAGCACAACTATCCTCCATCTCTTCACCACTAGTCGCTCACCTCGTTCAAGATGGATTTTTTGCACCATCTAACAATAAGATGATGCAAACCAATCTATTTTAAAAGAATTTCCAATTCTCTTGTCAATATAAATTCATAAATAAAACTCTCTTTATTTTTTACAAAATCTTATAACAAGTTGAAAAAATCATATGAATTTAAGTGAGTATGGATAAGATATACCTCAACTTGGTCACCAATGTGGATAATTAGGGCATTTGGTATGTACTTGACATCATACCAATGGTCATCCTTGAACACTTGGAGGCCTTGGACTTCATTTGGGACAAGAATGGTTATATGGGACATGTCTGTATGGGCCACAACTCCAAGTGCCAAATCGGGCCTTGGGCATGGTGGGTAGTAATTGATCTTCAACAAGTAAACTATTTCTTCACCACCTGCTGCCTCCATCATTTCATGGGCTTCTAACCCAAGCCCAAGTGATAAGCTCTTAAAGATCTTCTCCGCAACTTCTCGCAGCCTCTTTGCGTACTCCTCATTTGCTTCCCTAGAAAGTTATTTTTTTTTCTTCAGATTCACGGTTAGAGGGATTAAGTGGTTTGGCCCACTATAAAATTCAAGATTTAGTTAACCTTGTATTACATGGAGGGTATTAGCTAAAATCAGGATAAAGTTTACGCAACTGATTATCTATCCTATATAGAAGGTTGATTAATTTATCCTAATTATACAACAACAACAATTCCAATGTAATCCTAGTGTATCCTAATTATAATTATTGGATTATCATCTCAGGATAATCTGATTTTGAACCAAATGATCCCTAAATGACATAGCATGCGCTAATGAAAATAGAGTGGTAAAGCTGTAACCCTAGCACATTAACGATAATAAATAGATCTTATCATAGACCATAATTATATTGTTAAAAGTTCAGGCATAAAGTACATTTTATTAAGCGGTAAATAGTCCTGCTTGTTATGATATAGCAAAAATTAATAATTAGTAAGTAATATGGCATAGGGTGGAGGGAGAAAGGGGAGGTGGGGATGTCTAGTGTGATAGAGGAGGTTAGGTGGGGCTAGGGCCTATATGTCCAAATTCTACCATAATTAAGGTGATCAGAATAATCAACAAAGGTTGTGGGTAGAAAAAATACTTTTTCATCAGAAGTTTTAAATTTGAGCTCTGAGTATGAAGTTATCTTTGTTAGATACCATACAAGAGGATGGAATTTTAAAAAATGAGGAATTTCTCAAATTAGTTACAGCTTTAGTAGTCCCCACATGGCTTGAGTCAATATCAGAAAAAGTTTCTGCTATGGTCCTAGAGCATTCTGAGTGTGATAATTGAGTATATTGAAGAGTTTGATAAAAAAAAAAGGAATGGAATAAATTTCATACTAATTGACGTAGAATGTCATATTCTATTTCATTTAACCATAAGCATCATATACATCTAGTATCATAAACACAGACGTCCTAATATATATAATAGCATAACTTGAAAACTTAAAAAGAGAACCAGTTATACATGTACTTAGAATAGAGACCTAATTCACCAAATCTAGGTGATGATGAAGGCATGAAGATATATCTAGGTGTGTGCGTCTAGAAATAGTTTTATGGTTATTTAAGTTGGAGTTTTAAAATTATTTTTTTTAAAAAAAAAAAACTACCAATTCAAATTTGGGGAGCAATTTCTTCTTAATATAGTAGTGTATAGATATATAAAAGGAGAAGTAAATAAAGTAGTCTCTCTCTATATATATAAAGAGAAGTACATAATTATATGATACCAAATGGTATAGCCATAATATGACAAGTGTAGATTTTTAGGACAAATCTCCAACGTTTTAAAATTATATTAAAATAAAAAACAAAATTAAGGAAATAAAATATAAATATGTGGGAAAATATAAAGATATAACACTTCTAATTAGAATTATGATGATAAAGTCGTACATATACACATAACTCAAATCATAATAAATAAATAGTTATAAAGGAAGAATACTAAAAAAAAAAAAAAAAAA